GTAGATAGTTGTATGTCATAGTTGCACATCCTTCTAGTTGCTGTATGTGGGACGTGGCCTCAGCATGGCCGGAGAAGCGGTGCGTCGGTGCGCACCCGGGATCCGAACCCAGGCCGCCAGTAGCAGAGCGTGTGCACTTAACCGCTAAGCCACGGAGCCGGCCCTGTATATGTATATTTTTTAATGTTAATAGCTTTTGATTATATTCCCAAATGATTGGAGAATTTCATATTTCCAAGATGGCTGCCTTATCCTCACATTGACATTGCATATCAATAGTGCTCTCCTTCCAGTTTCTGGGTTAAGCTGTCCCCACCTCACCTTCTGCCATGAGGAAGCCATAGTGACCCTCACTGAAGGCGGAGTGGTTCTTTCCTCTTAGCTACTTTCTGAGTCTCCCACTGGAGCATACTTGACTTCTGGATGAGGTCCATGCCACAAGGAAATCTTGGGGGTAGTATTTACCAAATGTTTTCTCCACATTTCTCTGCTGTGACCTCCCAGGGGGAGATTTGGAGCCACTCTGGAAAACATTCCTCCCAAAGTTCTAAACTAAGGTAGTTCACAGGCCTCCTCTGCTTTTGGCTGCCTTGACCTTTCCTGTGATTTCCCTCTTCATCCCACCACTGTGCCACACCCCAGACCAAAACCTAAAAGACGGTGCTGTTGAATCCCTGAATGAACCAGGCAGTTTCTTAAATCTAAAGATTTTCCCTTTGAATCTCTCTCGAAGCCACCACCTTACCTTGTAGGAAATTCCTCTACATTATATTTTTCTTCTTGTTTACCCCTAGAATGTTTCTTTTTCTAGATGGTACCTTTTCTACTCTTCCCTGACAAATAAGACTCATGGTCTGTCTTTAATGGCAGAAAAGCTAAATGGGAAGGAAAAAGACCTGAATAGCTCAAAGAGAATATACATAGGGGATATTTCAAAAATAACCCATTATAGGTCTGGCCCCATAGTGTGGTGGCTGTGTTTGGCGTACTCTGTTTCGGTGGCCCAGGTTCACGGGTTCAGATCCCGGGCACAGACCTACATGACTCATCAAGCCATGCTGTGGCAACATCCCATATACAAAATAGAGGAAGACTGACACAGATATTAGCTCAGGGCTAATCTTCCTCAAGCAAAAAAAAGGGGGAGGTTGGCAATAGATGTTAGCTCAGGGTGAATCTTCCTCAGCAAAAAATAAAAAAAACTCCCATTATGTGTTAAGTCTACACCTTGACCAAAATACTTGCCCAGTAATCTCATCCCACAAATATATAACCTTTAAAACTATCTTGTTTACCCACTCTCTAATGTACCCCCTGACAAGATATTTAGAATGTCTTTATTTCTCTACCCTTTCTCCACCCTTTGGAACCAGAGCTTTCCCAATATAAGGTTTAAAACCCATGCTGGTAATAGGTTTTCCGTATAATATTTTTCTTCTCTTTCAAGAATCTGTCTTTAACACAGACTACAAATTTCCAGAAATATGATCATCCTCTATTTACGTTGAACTATACTATGCAGAATTTATTTCTTCTTAATTTTTCTTTCTCTTTTTCTCTCTCTATTTTGAGATCTCTACTCTGATGCAATCATCATGGTATGGTTAGAATAAAATTCCTCAAATGTTCTCCTCAGGTAGGATACATGGGTAGTGTGCATTCAGAACTTTTGCATGTTTAAAAGTGACTTTCTTTTGCCTGGATTGATGAATAATTTTTGGCAGAGTTAAGTTCTTGGCTTGCTGTACTTTTTTTCTCAAGTTACTACAGATGTTACCTTACTGTCTTTGAGCTTTGAGTATCACAGATTTGTTGCCAGTCTTCATCTACTTTATATGTGGGTTGCTGCCACAGCATGGCCGGCAAGTGGAGTAGGTCCATGCCCAAGATCTGAAGTGGAGCAAGTGGAACTTTAACCACTCGGCCACAGGGCAGGGCATTAAAGTTGCTTTTTAACATTGGAGTTTGAAAATCTCATCTAGATGTGTTTATGGGTGTGTGTGCTTCGTTAATCCTGCCTCAGATTCAGTGAACCATTTCAATGTGGATACTCAGTGTTTCTTCTTAGGTAAGTTTTCCTCTATTTTTTGTTATCATTTCTTCCCTGTGTGTTCCTTTTCCTCATTCTGGAACTCACACTATTTACATCTTGGGTCTGTCCTCTAAGCCTTTTGTCTTAGGTATATATCTCTTAGTTTTTGGTCTGTTGTGTTAGTTTTCTATTGCTGCTGTAACACAAATTACCACAAGCTTAATGGCTTAAAACAATGCAAATTTACTATCTTATAGTTCTGTAGGTTAGTGGTCTGACATGGGTCTCAATGGGCTAAAATCCAGGTGTTGGCAGGACTGTGTTCCTTGCCAGAAGCTCTAGGAGAGAATCCCTTCCATTGCCTTGCCAGCTTCTGGAGGCCGTCTCCATTTCTTGGCTTGTGGTAGGTCCCCTTCATCTGTCTTCAAAACCAGCAACAGTGCGTCTCTTTGGCCATTCTTTGGTAATCACATCTTCCTCTCATTCTCTTCTGCCTTGCTCTTATACTTTTAAGGACGCTTGTCATTAAAATGAGCCCACCTGAATAATTGAAGATAATCTCTTAATTTCAAGGTCCTTAATTTAATCAGATCTGCAAATCCTCTTTTGCCATGTAAGGTAACATTTACGTGTTCCAGCAGGTAGGACATGGACATCCTTAGGAAGTCATTATTCTGCCTACCACACCTGTGTTGTGAAATGGTCCTCTGATTCAGTAATCAGCAATAATTCATTGAAGGATAGACAGGAAGGATGAGTGAAAGGGGAACTCAAATGGCCCTAGTGATAATTTTGAGAGCTGTTTGCAATTATGCTTTCCCTATTAGCCTTCATCAGGCTTATTCCCTGGTGCAGTGTACTCCACACTCATTCAGAAGTTACTCTGGCTAGAGTGACTAACCACATGCTCTTGTTCTCTTGTAGAATCCAGTGAACATGAAGACAAGAGTGCAGGTGCCTCAGGGGAGACACCCTCCCAGCCTTATCCTGCACCAGTGTACAGTCAGCCTGAGGAGCTGAAGGAGCAGATGGATGATGCAAAACCAACTAAACCTGAAGAGAATGAGGAATCAGACCCATTGCCTGATAACTGGGAAATGGCTTATACAGAGAAGGGTGAAGTCTACTTCATTGAGTGAGTTGCACACATTTCTTTGAATATTGCTCTAAAGTTCATAACATTATATAAAGGATGTAGCAAATGGAGATGTGGTCAAAATGAAATATTGATTTTTTTTGTTTCTGGTATTAGCTTCCTTCTTTGTGACAAAATAATGGGATAGGACACAATTAAGGATCCTAGATTACAGCTATAAATCAAAGAATGAATTAAATAATTACACTGTAGAACTCATTGCAATCATGACAAAAAAGGCAAATCTCCCTGCAGTGTTATTACTGAATTAGAAATAGTGTACATATTCATGTGCAAATGCTTACTCTACTATTCCAAGACCTCCATATAATCCAAATGAGATAATCCCATCTTTTAAGTCAGATTGCTGGAAACTTCCTCCATCATGTGCAGTGGTTTAATGCGATGCAGCTATTTAGAGCAAAATACTTGCAGGTTATAAAAGAAAATGTTTGAAGCATTTGACCCTGAGGTCAGGTGTCAATAAAATCTTTTTTTTTTTTGTATAGTTCATCATACTGCTGTTTATTAAATTCCATTCTCTTTGGTCCGTGCCATTTTTATGACTTGCCAAGGAAACTGAAATGCTAATCCTGAACTTCCTGGTGCTATTTACTCAATATAATCTTTTCTTTCCTTTGGGACTTCTTTTTTTCAAAACTGAATTTTTAATATATTTTATTAACAATACTGTCTAGCTTTCTTTTTCTTTATATTCTAAGAGTAGAATAACTTTTTAAAATGAATTCCTAAATTGAAGATATTAGCACAAAATTAAATTGTTGGTGTGCATAAGACAATCAAAATATTCATTAGAAAGAATAAAAACTAAAAATATTATAAATGAAGAACCCTTATTCTCTGAAAGTTGTACAAGACTCAAAGAGAAAAATTAACAAAATCTGAAGTTTTCAGTGCTGACGGTGGATAAAAATATGTAAACTCTGATTATTCAAGAAAAATATTAAAACTGAATTCCCTTTCCCAACCTGGAGTGATTTATGACTTAGATCTCCATAGGCAGAACTCAGTTGTGAAATTGAAATGTTACCACATGCCAATATTTAATTCTCACATGAAAGTGGAAACTTTGATACATGTTTCAAGGGAATATATAATGAGGTAATTACTTGGTGTTCTGCTTGACTCCAACATGGATGAGAAATGCAGCGTTTTGCAGAAAATGAATCATTACTAACCATTCACCTTTTGACAAATCTTATAAGTTTAAAAAAAGAATAAAAATCTCTTGCATTATTTCTTATTGCTATAATCAATGACCCATAGACAGCTTTTATCAATTGATTGGAAAAGGGAAAGTCACGTAGAATTTTTTTTAATGCTCAAAAGTATTTATATCTAAAAATATAATTTTATTATTGATAAGCACAGCACGGCACCATTGTAGACCAGAAGTCAAAATAGAAATCCTAGATGTGAGGTCACACATTAATGTTCAGAACAAGGAGACTGATGATATACATAGTTTTATTATATTACACAAGCGGAATAAGGCTATGTGGAAATAATAAAAGGAAGCCAGCATGACGAGTTGATTAAAGAACTGTTTCCCTACAATGTTTCCAATAATACAACTATAAAAACCTTTTTTTCTTTTTGATTATAAAATAAACTTTCGTCTTTTAACTGTGTCAGGTTTTGAGATTGTGGAGACAAGGGACTTAGGAAGACAGAAGTTGTGCTCCTGGTGTATAGTAAATGATTAGGCTCTGTCAAGACTTGAGAGAATCCACTGGAATGATTCTATTTATATTCTAGTCAGTCAGCCAGTGTTAGCATTCAAAGATTCATATGATTTTTTCCCTGCTCTCAAATTTTTTGTCAAGTTGGGGAAGAGAGACAAATAGTTATAAACAATTAATAAACAGTTTCTGAATATTGTAATGAGAAGGATACACTTAGCTTAGACTTAAGTAATAAAATGAGGCATCATAATGAAGGTGACATAACGTAGACTTGAAAAGTTGGTAACGTGTAGATATAGCATTCCAGGTACAGGGACTGTCACTGCAAAGACCCAGTCCCTGGGTGTGTTAGCAATAGTGAGAAGACCCCCAACCCTGCCACAGAAGTAGGTCTTAGCTGGTGAGTCCTGTGAAATGACTGCTCAGTTTTCGTTTTGCTGTATCATTAGTGCTTTTGAAAGACAAGCAGAGGGTTTCGTTTGTTTATCTTCTTCCTATTACCATGAGTGAATAGTATTAGGAGCAGAGACAGGTTGAGTTGGAAAATTAAGACAAAAAGGAGGAGACAATTTCATTTGTGACAGAAAGCCGAGGCTGAGGAAGACTCATCGAGAGGCTAAGGAGCATGAAGAAGCCTGGAGTTAGGGCTGAAGTGAGAGTGTGATGGGAAGGTGAGTAATGTGGGAGGCAGGAGCAAATGGCCTGCTGAAAGAGGGTATTCCCCAGAAGGGAGGCGATCCCCACCCCACCCTTCGTCCTGGACTGATTTGAGCTCCATCGTTTCTTCCTTCAAAAAAGTTACCTTTGAATCTCAAGACTCAGCGTAATGAGCTCAGGAATCACAGGGTAGGGAGGGATCAGTGTCTTGCTCATCTGGTCCCTCATCTCCACACCATCATAATGTATGCTGCACTTTCCTTTCCCTCTGCTTACCTTTCACTCTGCTTTGCTTTCCCTCAGTTTTCGCTGATTTTCTCCTGGCTGCTTTCACTCTTTGCCCTGGGATGCCCCTTCCCTTCCTAGCTACATTTGACAAAATCAATGTTTCAACCTGCTGTCATTGATCTGTGTGTACCTTTGCTATTGATATCACAATGGATTCTTCGGTGAATAAACTCTATACCATAAAAGTCCCTTGGAAACAACCTGGTAGAGCAGGAGACAAGGAGAGGAGAGGGAACATTATGGGGCAATAGGACTTTCTTAGGGACTAAGCCATGATGCGTCCTGGAATTTCTGGACACGAAACTTCTAAAACAAATACTATTTGTAATATAGAAGTTTGCAGTCCTGAAGCAAATTTGCGATAAAGAAAGAAGACAAAAAGGAAAGGTAGAGTAAGTTAGAAGGAAGGTAAAACAGACAAAAGGAAAGGTAGAAAAGAAGGAAAATGAGAGATCTGTGAAGTAAGGAGAGCTGACATCAGTGAGAACTTCCTTCTGGTACAAATATTGTGAGAGTCGCTTAGACTAACGGAAGTCTCCCCCGATAGGTAACACCCGCTCATTAAACTTACTGAATTCTGTTTCTTGTGAAATGAAGAGCATGATAAAACAGAAAATAAGTGAAATGAAGAAGAAAGACCCTGTGGTTCTGTGTATAAAATTTACATATACATATATATTTCTGAATACCAGAGGAACTCTACCTATGCTGAAATGTTAATTTAAATATATCTTTTTCAAAAATAAAAATATATATAAAAACATTGTGGGTTTTTAATTAAGGTAACAAGTAATTTCATTTTTTTGTTTTCTATGCAATAATGTTTTAAAATAGTTCTTGATTTACTGAGTATTGCAAAATAATTTATATGTCTCAGGACTTTACAAGTTCTGCATTTATTTATTTATTTATTATTTATTTATTTATTTATTTATTATTTTTTTTTGTGAGGAAGATCAGCCCTGAGCTAACATCCATGCTAGTCCTCCTCTTTTTGCTGAGGAAGACCGGCTCTGAGCTAACATCTATTGCCAATCCTCCTCCTTTTTTTTTTTCCCCCCAAAGCCCCAGTAGATAGCTGTATGTCATAGTTGCACATCCTTTTAGTTGCTGTATGTGGGAGGCGGCCTCAGCATGGCCGGAGAAGCGGTGCGTTGGTGCGCGCCCGGGATATGAACCCGGGCCACCAGCAGCGGAGCGCGAACACTTAACCACTAAGCCGCCACGGGGCCGGCCCTACAAGTTCTGCGTTTAGAAAATGAGGGTTTTTTTCATTGCTGTTCTCAATACTGAACACGTGGGTCTACTATATTTCTCACACTCTTCAGAAGTGCTTCTTTGATGAATGATAAAAGCAGATTCCTTTTATCATTTACAATGGTATTTAATGGGAAAAGCTGAATATCTGAGAAAGTGTTTTTAAACAACAGAATTTTAAATTGTGAGTGAATGCACTCTTCCAGACATGCTTTAAAGCGTTAATAATGTCACATGTTTAGCAATTTTCAAACTTTCAAATGCATAATGTTGTTTAAAAGCATTAGTTTCCTTAACTCATAACATCATCTTCATTAAAATTATCTTTTAAATAGACAGTGTATTAATTACAAATTCAAATTGGTAATAATAGTTGCCACATATTAAGTGCCTACTTTTTCCAGGCTGTATTCAGTTTACTTAACAATAACAGCTAATATATTAAGCATGTACACTGTGCTCATTTGATTCTCACTCTAGGAAAATGAGGCTTATAGAAGTAAACAACTTGCCTGGGGTTGTATAACCAAGAATTGACAAAACCAGGATGCTTTGATTCCATTTATTCAACACAAATTTATTGAGCACATGCTATGTGCTAGAAACCGTTTTAAACCCTGGAATGTAGTGCTCAACAAAACTGCCAAGATTCATACTTTCATGGAATGTAGTCTGGCTCCAGGGCCCTTGCTCTTAACCCATTTGCTGTGGTGGCTACTTTACATGTATTGTATCATAACCACCATATAAAGCATCTGACGTACCCCCATTTTGTAGATGAGGTTCTGAGGCACCGTTGGACAAATTAGCATTCCCAAGGTCTCATGGCTTTGTCACCCTGCAAAGCCATTGCCGTTATCCCATACTACTTCCAATATACAAACAAACATTGGCTGAATAAAAAAGAAAACTTTATATTACAAACAGTATTTGTTTTATAAATTTCTTGGCCAGAAATTCACCATTCCAGAGGCTAAATGTTCCATAAAGAAGAGCTGCCACAGGGTTAATCTGGATTGACATGCTTTAGGAATCCCATTAAATTACTTCTTTGTTTGGGAATCAGTTTAGTTAGTGACATAAAAGAGACTG